CGGACCCCCGGCCCCGACCTCTCAATCTCTACCTGGTAACCCTCCTCCCCCTGCCATGCTCGAACACCTTGGAACTTCCATAGGCGCCTGCTACTCCCTCCCCCCGCGCTGCGACCCCGCGTCGACGTGCCATCAAGCACCCCAGAAGTCCTTCCAACTTCCCTGCGTATCGCCCGCTCCGCTCGGATGAGTCGGCGCGTCAGGGCCGAGGTCAAGACCCCTCCCATCCAGCCCATCCATTACGATTAGACGCATCTCCGACGGCAGACGCACAGATCCAAATCCAACACCCACCCAACTTAGTTTTTTTTTTGCCTCCTTCTGCTTCTACTTCTGCTGACAACTCGAGTCCGCCGAGCCTCGCGCGTCTCGCACTCCTCGGTGGATATTTCGACGACGCGCGAGCGTCGAAATCCACTTGGCGAGAGACGTGTCTTCCGCCGTCCCAGCGGGGCTGAGCCCCTTACGCGATGAGGCGGGGGAGCTCCCCGCGTCCCCGCCGAGCAGAGCGCGCCCCGCCTCACCTGGGGGCGGCGCCTGCCGCCACCCCTCGCGGCGGTTTAAAATTTAAAGAGGTTTGCCGCGCTCACCTCGCGCCGCCGCCGCCTACCTGCCACTTGTTGCGCTGCCCACTACACTTAGGCCCTCATCCATTCACCGCGGGCGATAGAGAGGCCCCAAACGCTCGCACAGATCGTGCCGGCGAGACTTCCACGTAAAAAAGTATGTATATATTTATTTATTTTTAAACAAAATGTCGTTTTCCACCAGGCCGGCTTCTCGGTGGGCAGCGCGCTCGCCCCGCTCACGGCGAGGTCGTCCTGGAGCCAAGAGGACATCTTCTGGGGCTTTCTGCAGCTCAACCTCAGCCTGGCGGCGCTCGCCACGGTCCTTCTGGTCCTCGTCATCTGGCGTGAGTACTGCAGCATTCCCGGGGGGAAGGGGGGAGGGGAGGGAGCAAGCCATGCAGATTGATGACAAAGCGGGGATCGGCCATTGTTTGGCGGTTTTGTTTCTTCACGCTTCTCCCCACCCCACCCCCCTCCGTCCCTTTCAGGCACTCTCCGCCTGCGCCCTCCGCGTCCCGCCGGGCCCAGCCCCATCTCCTCATCGATCTGCACGCTAACTTCTCACATTTGCCCCCCCTTCCCTTCCCTTTTCTTCCCTTCCCTTTCTCCTCTCCTTTCCCCCACCCACCGTGTTTAATAAATGCACTCTACGCAGGAAAGAGCATCCAGCGCATTTAATGCACATTAACAGGCCCCAGTCCGGCCATTGCGATTTGAATTTGCGCGCGCGCCCACTTCGTCGCAGCAGCGCCATTATTTCAAATACGAGTCCACAGTGTTCCAGGACGCGCCGCCGCTGCCCCCATCCCCGGCCCAGGCCTCCGCCAAGGCGGCCAAGGCCTCTGCCGACAAGAGCTCGTCGGCGCAGTCGCTGGCCTCTGACCAGCCCCTCACCCCCACCGCCACCTCCAACTTCATGGCCTCCATGCGGCGCATCTGCACCAACCTGCACTTTTTGCTGTTGCTGACCTCGTACACGCTGCTCGTGGCCGTGTTCGTCGCCATCAACACCCTGCTCAACAGATTCGTCCTCGAGTTCTTCCCGGTGAGTGCTGCCCCCATGCCCTCCCATACTTTCTCGCACGCGCCCTTTCGACACCGCGCTAACGTCCACCGTTGCTTCCAGGACCGGGGAGCGGACGCGGGCTGGCTCGCCACGCTCATGACGCTGACGGGCATGGGCGGCATCGCGGTGGTCTCGGCCGCGCTGGACAGGACCAAGTGGTTCAAGTAAGTGTTGGCTGCTGCTGCTGCTGCTGCTGCTGCGCCCCGCGACGCTTTCGCGCCCCAGCGAGCCTGGCAGAGGACGCGGGCGGCGCGGGAGAGGAGAGAAGAGCCATGGGAACCAACAGCCGCTCGCTATTTTCGGTGACCCTGGCTCCGGTGGGCCCCAAGGGCGCGGCGGGGCGTGGGGTGCGGGGTGCGGGCGGGGCCCAGGGCGCGGGGCAATACAGATGCATAGACTCACCGAGTGCTCTCCGTCGACAGGGAACTGTGCGTGGCCGTGTACGCCGGGTCGCTGGCCACCTGCGTCATGTACACGGTGGTGCTGGGCAGGAGCTCCATCGACATGGTGTACTGGGCGGCCGCTGGGATGGGGTAAGTGTGGTGTGGCGAGGAATACTTGAGATCCCGAGTACTTAATTCAAAATAATTACCTAAAAGATCAAACAGAAAAATTCAGAAAAAAGTCAAGAAAATCAATTTAAACATCAGAGAAATTACTTTAAAAAAAAATCTGAAAAATACAGAAAATTGACGTACGCTTGAATTTATAAACGCGCCATGTCTGCACGCAGGATGTTCATGTCGAGCTTCTTCGTCGCCGGGCTGGAGATGGCGGCGGAGCTCACGTACCCTGAGCCTGAGGGTAATCCGACCTCTATCGTCAACTGGATGTTCCAGGTAAGCGACTGCAGGAAATTGTAGGAAGACAGGCGTTAACACAGAGGGTGTGCAGCTATGAGACACCTCTACAAGGTGCCCACATTGTCAAATTCCGACGGGGATTTTCATCAACCTTGAATTGTTAGTACGCACATCAGGAGCTTTACTTTACCCTTGCCCCGCAGCCGTTCTCGTTGGTGACCACCCTGGTCTACGCACGCCTCTTCGCGGACTTCGGCGCCGACGCAGCGAACTACTTTCTGTGCGGGCTGTTGGCCCTCGGGCTGGTGGCCACCATGGCCACACCCAAGAAGTACATGAGGCTGCACGCGGAGGTCTCCTCCCGAGGCGGCGAGGACGCCGTCAAAGCCCCAACAGCCGCACCCCCACCGGCGTGACGGTGGCCGCGCCACCTAGAACGTCACTTTTGTACCTTTTCCATGAGAATTTTCTACCAGTTGCATTTTAAAATGGCTGTGGCATTTCGAAGTTATTTAGACCGTCCCTGAGAGAGTAGAGTGGGAATAACGGCAAGCACAGACGAAGTTTCTCACCGAGTGAAAATTGTGCCGATGGGCTGCCTACTGTGTTTTTAACATCTATACCCTTTCTCCTCTATACTCTTTCTTAAATGTTTGTGATTTACAATTGGCATACCTATGAATGCTGTGATTGGTGCTAAAAAGTTTGTGATTTACAATTTGTATACCTAAATGTATAGTCCGGAGGGAAGCTGCTATATGCAGACCAAGTTTGCGACTGCTGTCTCCGGCAGAAATAGATTTTAAGAAAGTAAGGAAGAAAGTCTTTATTACTTAAAACCGAACTGTAACAATAAAATAATGACTAAAACAACCACACTCTCTACGGTTTAAAAACTTTTTTTAACAACAGGATATTCTACTGAAACGAGATTGACAATACTATGGTAAAGAGAGTTAAAGAAGTGTGACAGACCAGAAAAAGTCACTTCTTCACATACTTTTACCATATTATTTCAATTCTCAAAATTCAATAGAATGCTCTTTTTATATTACAGGTACTTTCAAAAAGTATACACATTTGTACAATAATTTTCCTGTGGAGTAATAGATAAAAAAATAAATA